TTAGTGATGTTGGCATCTTTTCATGTGATTCTTTTAAAGGGTGTGAATTAAACTTACCTTTTGAAATTGGCCACTTGAACACCTGTCTTGTTTTGAATTCTTTTTTCAATGACAGCACCTAGGACATTTCTCCAAGGTAGATGTTTTTTACTTACCGCCCCTTGATCCTTGTGCATATTAAATACCAAGTGGCACTACTTTTTGGATGTTATTAAATTAAAAGGCCACAAGGAAGCAGCACTTCTCCAGGCCCCATTCTTTTTTTATTTTCCTGTAATTTCCTTGTTATTTTATGTTGGAATATCCTTGATTTCTGATGTGTTTGTTTCAGCAGTACAGATATGTGATTCAGTTATGCATAGATGTTTATTTATTCTCTTCGGGTTCATTTTCCTATATAGGTGACTACAGTGTGTTCATAAACTTACCTATGCTATTCGGTAGTTACTTTTTGATCATCTATTTGACATATGTTACAGTGTATATGTTAATTCCAAATTCTTAATCTTTCCCACTTGTATCAGGAGGTTAGAGGTTAGGGGCCCTGCAGAGGGCAAGAGGCACTCCGGGTCAATTGTGGAGGCACCCTGCCAGCTACATGCTCCTAGCTCTTTCAGCCCCAGGACACTCCAGCCTTAGTACCCAAGGCAATTAGGCTCCAGGGATGTGACACCAGCCCAGGTCACTATGGGTGAGGGGAATAGAGTCAGTTTTTTTTTTTTTTAATGTTTTTATCCTATAATTTGAACTGGAGTATATAGGTGAATTACAATCTGTGGGCCTTTTTTTTTTCCCCTTTTCAATCTAATGCAACTTGATTCACGTCCACATAGATGTATATACATATTTTCAAGTTCCTTTTCCGTATAGGTTATTACAAAGAGTGACATAAGTTTCCTTGTGTTACACAGTGGGTGCTAGTGACTTATTTTATAAATAGTAGTGTGCATACGTAAGTTAGTCTGAAGCAGCTTGTTTCTCCCTGACCCACATCTTTCTTAACTGGTGACCAGACGTTTACTTTCTAAGTCTGTGAGTCTGAATCTCTTTGGGAAAGAAGTTCATTTATATACATTAAAAGATGCTTTCCTCCTTGGAAGGAAAGCTACGACCAACCTAGACAGCATATTAAAAAATGGAGATGTCACTTTGTCGACAAAGGTCTGTATAGTCAAAGCTCTGGTTTTTCCAGTAGTCATGTATGGATGGATGTATTAAAAAATGGAGATACCACTTTGTCAACAAAGGTCCGCATAGTCAAAGCTATGGTTTTTCCAGTAGTCATGTATGGATGTGAGAGTTGGACCATAAAAAAGTCTGAGTACCAAAGAACTGATGCTTTTAAACTGTGGTGTTGAAGAAGACTCTTGAGAGCCCCTTGAACAGTAGGGTGATCAAACCAGGCATTCATAAAGGAAATCAACCCTGAATATTAATTGGAAGGACTTATGAAGCTGAAGCTTCCATTCTTGGCCACCTGATGTGAACAGTCAGCTCATTGGGAAAGACCCTAATGCTGAAAAAGATTGAAGGCAAAAAGAGAAGGGGGCAGCAGAGGATGAGATTGTTAGAAAGCATCACTGATCCAATGGACATAAGTTTGAGCAGACTCCGGGAGATGGTGAAGGACAGGGAAGCTTGGCATGTTGCAGTCCATGGGGTCATAAAGACTTAACAACTGATCAACAACCTGGATCCTCCTGAGTATTAAATGCCCGGCTGCAGAGTTCTTCATGGTGTTGTAACAGAAAATGGCCTCAAGGTGACAGCACTTCTTCCTGCTGCACTCTTTTTTCCCCCTGCAATTTCCTTGTTATTTTCTATCGAAATATAATTGATTTCTGATACTGTGTTTGTTTCAGCTGTTCAGCAACTTGATTCAGTTATATTAACACAGAGACATTTATCTGCTCTCTTTTGGGTTCTTTTTTACATATGGGTGATTACAGTGGGTTCAACAAATTTCCCTATGCTATTCAGTAAGTCCTTTTTGAACATCTGGTTGATATATATTAATGTGTATATGTTAACTCCAATCCAGTAAATTATCCCGCCTGTATCTGGAGGGCCAGAGGCACTCCAGGTTCATTTTAGAGGCACACTGCCTGCCACATGCTCTCAGCTCTCTCAGTCCCAGGATACTCCTGCCTTGGGACCCAAGCCAATCAGACTCCAGGGACATAGCACCAGCCCAGGTCACTAAGTCCTGAGGGAAACAGAGGCAGCATTTCTTTTTCATTTTAGCTGTTTTTATCTCATCATTTGAACTTGGAGTATATAGGTGATTTACAGTCTTGTGGGTTGGCTTTTTTTTTTCCTTTTACCACAACTAGTTTCATTTCTATTAATACACAGATGTATATATGTATATATGTGTATATATATATATATATATATATATAGAGAGAGAGAGAGAGAGAGATTTCTTTTCCACATAGGTTATTACAGAGTGTAGAGTAATTGTCCTTGTGTTATACAGTGGGTCCTAGTCTTTTTAAAATAGTAGTGTGCATATATTAGTCTGAAGCAACTCATTTCTCCATGCCCCACATCTTTATATCTTGGTGACTGGAAGTTTCTTTTCTAAGTCTCTGAGGCTCTGTTTCTGGGCAAGAAGTTCAATAGTATCCATCTTTAGGTTACACCTAGAAGTGATATCTTATGATAGTGATACTCATCTCTACCTGTGTCCCTTACTTCATTCAGAATGATCATCTCTGCTTTGTTTCCCGAAGCTGGATTTGGCATTATTTCCTACTTCTTTATGGTTGAGAAATATTGCATTGTGTATATGTACCCCATCGTCTGTATACAGTCATCTGTGGTTCTATAGTTAGCTTGATTCCCAGTCTTGGCTACTGTATTTTGTGGGGCCAAAATCACAAGGTTACCCATCTTTTTAAAATTTTGATTGTCTCAACCCCACCCCAACCCAGACATGAGACACAAGCCTGCTCAGGCTCCAGGGATGGGATAGCAGCCCAAATCAGGGAGGTTGTAGGGAATAAATTAGGCATTGCTTTTTTTCCTATTGTTTTCTTTAATGTCATACTGAAGCTATGTTGGAGTACAGTCAATTTGCAGTTTTTGCTTGCTGCCAGTGTACAACCGCCTGATTCAGTTATGACATATACATACAGCGTGTCTGTTTTCTTTTGGATTCTTTTACCACAGAGGTTATTGTTGAAGGTCATGCAAAGTTCTACTTGCTGAACATCAGGCCCTTTTTAAGCATCTATTAGAGATACAGATTTCTGTGTATATATAGAAGGAAGGAAAGAGATAATCCTTTTGGATTATCTATTACAGCTACAGCTTTCTGTGTATATGTAAGTCCCTACCTCCTAATTCATCCTATTCTTTTTTTGTATTGGAACCCTCTGTGTTTGAATTCCCAGAGTCTCTTTTTGGGTTGTAAATTAGTTCCTCTGTATCTTTTTAAAAATTTTTTCCTAGAAGGGACATCAAAGACTGTTGTCTCCCTTAGTCTGGCTGACTTCACTTAGTGTATGATCCTTCAAGGTCCATCCACCTGATGACCAGTGGCATAATTTCATAATTTCAGTAGCACTTTTTCATGGCTGATTACTAGTCCATTGTCCGTATGTAACACACCTTGTTTATCCTTTAATCTGTCAGTGGACCTTGTGCAGGTTCTATTTTGGCTGTTGTAAGTAGTGCTGCAGTGAATGTTGGGGTGCATGTGTATTTTTGAATGATGATTTTCTCAAGTTATTGGCCTAGGTGTGGGGATGTCTGATCCTAGGTTTGGCTCTCTTGACAGAATTTTTTCTTTTTTTGACATGCAGAGGCTGTCCTTTCTAGTTGTTGTTGTTAATGTCCATTCCCGCCACACAGGTAATGGGGTTCCTTCACCTCCTGGCTCTCTTCTGCATCTACTGTTTGTAGACTTGTGAGGATGGCCAGTCTGACTCCTGGGATTTGATTTTCCATTGTCATTTTGACTGGCATTCCTGCAGCAATTAGAGATGCTGTGCATCTACTCCTGTGGTGGAGGTTTGTGTTTGTTGTTTCTTTTTTTATCCTTTTCATTAAAGGGTGTGAGGAAAATTTACCTGTGACAATTGGCTTCTTGAAAGATGGTTGTGTTTGGAATTTATTTCTGCCCTGGGAGATTTCCTGAGGGCAGCTGTCATTAACAGAAACCCAAGGCCTTGTGAATTAGAGATGCTGGTCAGCCTCTTTGGTCAAGTTGTAGTTTCAGGAAATGTTTACAGGTGGCTGCACATTTTAATGCACATCTGTGGTTCCTGAGAAAATCAGCTTCCTGGACTGTCGATTAGAGTGGAAAGTGCCTGAGCAAACACCTAAGGGCTTGTGTTTCACTACTTTTTCCCCCTAAAGAATCACACATACAGCCCCCAGCAGACTAATCACTACTGGCACCGTGGCACCCTGCTGAGGGTGCTTAGGTGCCCAGGAAACTGCACTTTGGGAAGGAGGTTTGAATCAGAATGCCCAGCACCAGGGCGTGTGTTGTGAAGCTGTGAAGTTGCTCAGTCGTGTCCGACTCGTTGCAATCCCGTGGACTGTAGCCTGCCAGGCTCCTCTGTCCATGGGATTCTCCAGGCAAGAATACTGGAGTGGGTTGCCATTTCCTTCTCCAGAGGATCTTCCCAACCCAGGGATTGAACCCTGGTCTCCCGCACTGTAGGCAGACACTTTACCCTCTGAGCCACCAACTCCCTGGGCATGTGTAGGCTTGGTAATTGTTGTTGTTCAGTCACTCAGTTGTGTCCAACTATTTGCAACCACATGGACTGCAGCATGCCTGACTTTCCTGTCTTTTACCATCTCCTGGAGCTTGCTCAAACTCATGTCCATTGAATTGGTGATGCCATCCAACCATCTCATCCTCTGTTGTCCTCTTCTCTTCCTGCCTTCAATCTTTCCCAGCATGAGGGTCTTTTCTAATGAATTGGCTCTTCGCATCAGGTGGCCAAAGTACTGCACCTTCAGCTTCAGCATCAGTCCTTCCAATGAATATTCAGGATTGATTTCCTTTAAGGTTGACTGGTTTGATCTCCTTGGTAATATTTTCCCCCAAGTCCCTGGAGGCCTGTATTCCGCGGGGACTCTGGTCCGATCCAGAACAAAGCAGACAGCAGCCGCTTCAGAAGGGTTCAATGAAGAGCACCCTGCCAGGCTATCTCAAAGCCACCCAAGTCCAGCAGTGGGACCCAAGCCTGGTTAGGCTTCCAAGGATGGGATCGCAGCCCCAGTCAGCAGGATCGGGGTGAAGAAAGTAAGCACTGGTTTTCTTCCCTTCTCTTTAATATCATGCCCATGCTATGTTGCAGTAGAGTCAATTTATAATACTATGACTGTTGTCAGTGTACAGCTGCATGATTCAGGTATGATGTATCTAGGGGTGATCTGTATTCTCTTCTAGATTTTTCACTCTAGAAGTGGAGCAGATGGCTTAGCATCAGGTCCTTGAGGAATATGCGCCTCAGACTCAGTTTTCTGTGTATACAATGAGTGAAGGTGGGAGATAAGTTCTTTGGATACCCTCCTGGAGATACAAATTTCTGGGTATAGGTTAGAGATACCGATTTCTGTGTATATGTGCAAGGAAGGAAGGAAGAAATGAAGAGGATGATCTACTGCAGATACAGAATTCCATGTCTTCCTGGTTTTTCCCTCCCTTCCCACCTCTCGCCCCCACCCCGCACCCTGCCTTGGGGACCTTTTCTTGGGCGTTGAATTCTCAGACTCTTTTCTGGTTGTAAATGTGTTAGTGTGTCAGTTTCTACTCTGCCTGGAAGGTGCATCAGAGACTGTCTTCCTCTGCCTGATGGATTTCCTATAGTGTCTGACTCTTCAAAGTCTATCTGTGTGATGGCCATTGTCAGAACTCCCTAATTTCAGTGGTGGATTTGTATGGCTGAACAATAGTCCATCGTATATATAGACCACATTTGGTACAAGCTTTAACCTCTTGGAGATTTTGTTGGTTGTCTGTCTTGGTTATTAGAGTTTGTGCTTCAGTCTTGGTCAGGGTGCAGGTTCCTTTTGATCGACGAATTTCTCAGGATATAGGCCCAGGTGTGGGGATGCCAAGTCCTAGCATTAGTGCCTCTTGAGAATTTTGTTTCAGGTATTCGGAGAGTGTCCATTGCACTGACAATTGCCAACTTTTTTCCCCCCACATACAGTGTAGGGGATTCATTTTCCTCCAGGTTCTCACCAGCGTGTATTCTTTGTAGACGTGTGAGGATGAGCATTGTGACTGATGGATTTGATTTCCCATTGTGGCTCTGATTGACATTCCTGCAGCAATTAAGGATGCTGAGTTTGGTTTCTTGCGGTGGAGGTTTAGGTGCATTTTGTTTTTCCTTAAGGGGTGTGAGGAAAATTTATTGGTGGCGGTTGACTTCCTGAGAGTCGGTTGTGTCTGGAATTTATTTCTGCAATACCCACCCCAGGACATTTCCTGAAGTCAACTGTCATTCACATAACCCCAGGCCTTGTGAATTCTAGGTGCCTTGAGTGCCCTGTGGTCAAGTTGTAGTTATAGGAAGTGTTCACAAGGTGGCAACACTTTTTCTTGCCCACCACTTGCTCCCCGGGGATGGGTGGGGTGGGTGGTGGCAACCAGAGCCTAAGGCAGATACAGCTTCCTGGGATGTGAACTGAGGTGGAATGTGCCTAAGCAAATGCAGAAGGTCTTGGAATGGTCAATGGGAAAAATAATAGGACTCTATATCACCAAAAGTACCATGGAAAACCTCTAATCACTTTACAAAATCAGGAGCATATCAGAATTATCTTGGAATTTTTTGAAAAATACAAATGCCCAGGTACTGCTTTCTTCTTTGGCCAGAGACCCACATAGGTGTCTACTGAACAGAAATCTATGTTTAAACAGCTGAACTGTATGATGACTTCTTATGTTGACCTCATTTGTTTCACTTTCATATTTTCTCTTCAGAGCCCCCATGTCAGTTAGTTGATGTTCTCCAATCCCTACATCTCTCCTTTTTCTCTGATGTTCTTTCTCTGGCCCTCATCACCTGTAGTAGTAAAGCTTCTGTATCCATATATATGAATAATGTGTATATCTATTTTAGAAACCTTATGAAATTTTGCCCTACTAGAATTTTTTTCACATTGGATTCCACTTGTTTGATGTAGTAGGAATAGGATGCTACATTTTTAATTAAAAAAGAAAGATATGCAACAAACAGCAAAGGTTTACATATAACACAGGGGAACTATGGTCACTATGTTGTAATACCATGGAATGGATAATCATTTCAAAAATAATGTGTGTGTATATGGATCACAGAGTCAAATTGCTGTGCACATGAAACATTCAAAGTCAACTATACTCTGTCAAATATGGGAGTATATATTTAATATATATATTAAAATTAACAAAAACACCCATGGACTTGTTTCTCACTATTTCTTCCCCCTAAAGCATCACACACACAGCCCCCAGCGGACTAATTTCTCATGGGGTGAGGTGGCATGGGTGTGTTGTGGTCAAGGGAGCTCAGAGCAGGTGCTCAGTGGTAGGGGTTGGGGTAGGACAGGCCTGCGGGTCACAGTGCATCACTGGCCTCCACCCGTCTAGCCCTCCTCCACATATGGGTAGAAGCTCTCCTGGCCACTCTTCTTCCAGTAGCCCTCAGGGTTGAAGGACAGCTTGTAGGTGCCTGCCTTCACCTGGCCTGGCGGCAGGAGCCCAGGGCAGGGACAATCCGGGTGGGTCTTTGCGACTGGGGAGAGGCGGGGGCGCTGCAGAGCCATCCTGGCCTGGGCCTCCTGGGTCTGTGTGCCCAGTGGCCTGAGTCGGATCTGGGTGAGCAGGGCCTGGACGTCTCTGCAGCAGGGCAGTGTCCAGGACCAGGGCTATATTGCCTCACTGTCCTTAGGGAGTCAGAGAGAAGAAAAGGTCATTGTCCTTAGGGAATCACACAGAAGAAAAGGGAGAGAACCTGCCCGTCCCCTGTGCCCTGACGCAAAGACTTTGCAGATTTTCTCTATGCGTAAGTGTGCTCATTTACAAATTAAAAAAAACTTGTTTTTTACTAGCCATAACGTGTCCATGTGTGCTAAGTGTAGGCCTCTTTGCAACCCTTATAGACTGTAGCCTTCAAGGCTCCTCTGGCCATGGGATTCTCCAGGCAAGAATGCTGGGGTGGGTTGCCATGCCCTCCTCCAAGGGGATCTTCGTGACCCAGGGATCGAACCTGGGTCTTGTAAGCCTCCTGTGTTGGCAGGGGGGTTCTTTACCACTAGTGCCACCTGGGAAGCCCTTGTAAGGTGTATTTGTTGTTTACTACATTGCGCATGGCTTTCTGGGTCAATAACTGTGCCCAGGTTGCCATCTGCATGGCGGGCTGTTTGCAGCTGCAGCGCCAGAGGCTCTGAGGGCCTCTGCTCACTGCAGCCATGCTCTCAAGTGTCTGTGCTGTGATCAGCATTGGCAGCATTTACTAGCGCAGTTTAGAGAGATAGGGAGTGGCTCCGTGTATTCCTCCAAGCTCAGATGTGACCTGGACGCCCCTTTCATGAAGGGCTCCATAACCTGAGGCTCCGAACCTTTGGGGTCCACCAGGGGCAGGTGTCTCCCGCCTCACTCTCAGTCTCCTCATGTGTGAAAAGGGTGCTTGTGGGGTCTGCACACGGGGTGTAGTGAGAACCTAACAAACGTCCAGTACTTGAGAGCTGCCCAGCACAGGTCACCCGCCAGTCATGGTGACTACCCGGCCTTGCCGATTCCTCCTCAGGCTTCAACTGGCCAGTGGGCAGGAAGAGACAGGCCCGTCTCTGTCTCCGGGCACTCCGGGTGTAAGCTCTGCCAGCGCAGCTGAGTCCTGACCAGGACTACTCAGCCTATTGAAACAGAAGCTCCGAGAGTCGGCAGGGGGCCCATCTGGTCAGGTCAGCCCTGTCACCTGCTATCCGTGTCCACACCTTGCCCTGGTGCAGGGCCCCTGGGGGGGTGGGGTGAGGGGTATTCCGGACTCGAGCCCTGCCCCAGACCACCCTCCTACCTTTTCTTCAGCTCGGTCCACTGCTGGCCAGGGTCCTCCTGTCTGGACAGAGGCAGAGTCCCAGGGCTGGGAGAGCTGAGGCAGTGTCCAGCACGTGTGCGGTCAGCGGGCGGCGGCCCGGCTCCACGCCTCTGCCCTGGACCTGTGGGGCGTCCTTATCTCCACACCCCATGTAGAGGCAGCGCCTTGGAGTAAACTATGGCAACTGAGATGGGGGTGGGGGGCAACTGAGCAATCAGTGCGCAGACCTGCGGGTCACGGAGGCTCCTCCCGGGAGCAAGCGGAGTGACCCTGTAGCGTGGGGGTGGGAGTGGGGGTGGGGCACGAGGGGCTGGGCTGGGGAACCTGGGGGTGGAGAGCTGGGCGGGACCCGGCGGGGATCTCGAGAGAGAGCGCAGAACCCGGAGGGCTCGCAGGATGGGGGAAGGGGCACTGGATGGGGAGATGGGGAGCGGGACGGGGCATGGGGAGCACGGAATGGGGGAGGGGGCGCGGGTCGGAGTGGGCGCGCAGGACCGGGAGGGACGCAGGACCCGGTGCGGGCGGTGGGGGAAAGACCCGGCAGGGCTCCAGCCGAAGTCCGCGCTGGCAGCGCAGGAGGAGCCCGACCACCCCCAGGGTCCAGCTCGTTTTCCTTCCCTGGGCTGTCAGGATTTGCTGGAGGCCCCGACAGGTCTCGTGGAGGCGCCCCAGGCAGGAGCGACCCCGGGTTGAGAGTGACAGTGCGGGGTGACACTCTTGTGGTCGTGTTTACTCCCCTTCCTCCTACCTGCTCTGGCCTTCGACTCCCAAGGTGCAAGGACCCCCCCACACCGACAGCGTAGGGTCCGGGCTGTGCGGAAATGACGGAAGAGGCAAGGCTGAGCATACAGGCGTGAATCCTGTCATTGTATTAAAATATCACATGATGTGCATACTGAACAGATTTTTGTAACAGATTAGATACAAATAAGGGCATTCTGTGTTTACAGTCTGCATAACGTTGCCTGCCGGGTTGTGTTGCTCTGGGTGTGGTGCCCTTTTTCTTCTCACTAAAGTGCATGTTCTAATGATTGGATAGCGAGCCTGGTCAGTTTGAGCCTTAAAGATTCCCTCTGAGCTGGGGAAGGAGACCTCTCTGCAAAGTTTGTGTGTTGGCTACAACTGCTTTGGAGGTAACCAGTAAGTGTGTGTTTGAGATGTAAATAGGATGAGCTTTGGCAGGGTTTGTGTTTTTAGGAGGTGACCCCACAGAGACACACACACCTGTTTAGGCAAACAGTCACGGGGATGGGACCAGAAACAATCATGCTGCTCCCACGAGGGACAATTAAATCAATGAACTTCTCCACACACTGGCAGCTGTGCAGCCCAGTACAGAGTGAGGAGGCCGCTGCCCTGTGAGGTGAGGGGTGAGTAGTGGCTGGTGACCAGGGGGGAGGCAGTATAGCTTCATGGTTTGAATCGGCAGCCGTTTTTACTCCATTACAAGGGTTAGCTCACCTCGTCATTGTCACAGGCTCAGGCTGTCGCTGTCAGAGTCCCGGTGTCACAGAGGGTGAAGCCGAGGTGCAGAGGGGCTGTGTGCTGGAACACCTGGTGTGGGACACAGGAGAGGGATGCCAGGACCACGTCTGGGACGAGCAGTGTCGACGGGCTGATCGTTTCCACTCTGTAACCTTTCCTTGTACAGATGTCAGAAGCCAGTGAACAACAACAATCAAACCTTTTTTGGTGGCTGCCCTGTCACCCTCCCCGTCTAGAGCCCTCACACCTTCTCTGCCCCGAGGGAGAACCTAGTCCTGGGAGAGCACAGGGCCGGGCAGGGTGTTGCCACAGGTGCTTCTGAGGCCTCACCAGGGCCCCTGTCCAGCCTGTAGGCTTCCCCTGGAACCTAAGAGGGCAGCGGGCTAAGAAAAGGCAGGTGGTCCAGCCTAAGGGCCAGCCATGCCATGCTCACCACATGACCCCCTGAGTGGTAGCTGCCTGACTGGATCTGGCCAGCAGTGGCCACTCAGCACCTTTAGGCTCCTGAGAGCAAAGCACAGTTCTGCTGGTGGGCCTGCCCTCCTCCTCCCACTCCCTTCTGACTGTGTGATGTGATGCTGGAGATGCAGCAGCCCCCTGGCATCAGGAGGGCACGACTTGCGCTAAGGAAGACGCGAGATGCTGAGGAGGAGATAAGCAGCTCGCTTCCTGGTGTTACCCCTGGGCCTCATGGCAGGTACGTGGGGCCTTTTCTGTCTGGATTGTGTTACCTGGATTGTGGAGCACCAACAAGAGACTCGCCCCCACCGTGGTCCCAGGGAGAATGAAGCTGGTCTGCCTGGCATCCAGGTCCAAGCTGGTGGGGGGAGGTCCTGGACTGTGATTTTAAACCACTCCTGTTGATTGTTCCAAGCATGTAGCCCAAAGAGTTCTGCCTGGGGGAATTGAGATCACGCAGGTACAACGGGTAACAGCACATAGGGTGCTCAGTACCTTGGAACTGACAGTCCTTCCCGGGCAGCCAAGACCCTGAGCAGCAACAAGAGACTCGCCCCCTTGTGGTCCCAGGGAGAATGAAGCTGGTCTGCCTGACATCCAGGTCCAAGCCGGTGCTGGGAGGCCCTTGTCCTATCCTGAAACACTGGAGTGGTCCATGTGAGTCCACCCTTCCTGGCCTGCTGAACCCCTGCTCCACACCTGTCTAGAGAGCTCTTCCAGGCTGCCGTGATGGGAATTTGTGGTGAGAACTCAACAGAAAGGTTGTGAAGGCATCTGGGAACTTCCTTCACCAAAGACATAACGTTGCCAGGTATACTGAGGTGGTGCAGGTGACGGGGAGGCCATTTCAGATGGTGGTATGTGCTGAGAAGGACATAGGGCATGGGATGCCAGAGGCTGATGGGCAATGAATCCAGAGAGTTGCCTTCTTGGACGAGAGGAGATACTCAGATGGAAACGTGTCTTCGGGCTGAGGCTCTGGGTGGGCTGGCCAGTGGGCTGAGGGTGAGGCTGGGGGCGGTGGCCACAGGAGGGATTTGTTTGGCCCCTGGTAGAGTTTCTGCTCCCCAAGGACTGGGGTTATTGTCTGTCTACTCATGGCTGGCCAGGTGTCTGGAACACGACCTGGCCAGAGGCAGGTTCTAAACAAGTATCTTTTGAATGAATGGACAGTCTGAGTGTGGAGCTGCACAGGACGGACAACATCAGGCTGCAGAGTAGGGGTTAAGTAGATTAGGAGGCAGAGATGGGAGAGAGGCATACAGGGTTTCTAAGCCCTGCCTCCCAGCCCCCACAGGGCTCAGCTCCACCCAAGCCCATCTGTTCCCCCAGACACTCTGACACTCTCTTTTTTTTTTATGGTGAACTCCCTCTGGCCTTCACTCACCTGTGTGTCCTGCCCTGAATGTCTTAAAAAGCAATTCCAAGTCTGTTCCCACCAGCTGTGCCTGAAGCCTCTTTATTCTTAAGCCAGGTGATCCCGAGGGCACCGGCCAGAGATGGGGCCACTTCCCTGCTTGGGGATGGCTGGATCTTGTCTGAACTGTGGACTTTGCTTTCTTCACTCGTCTGCCCATTCAGGTCACTGCCTGGCTCAGAACTGGGAGTGTTCATGGGTCAGTGTGTCCCCACTGATTCTAGCAATCTGCCAGGCTGAGTACTGCTGGCTTGCATTGTGACACTGCTGCTTACCAGCGACACAGGGGCTGCCATACAGCATAGCTCATGGGATGTCTGCTGGCCTCAGCTGGACTTTGCAGTCAGGCTGAGAGCCAGAGGGTCGGTGGTGTTGGTGACTGTATATTTCATGTTTGGAGACATGTCTGGTTAGTTCTGCCCCTTTTTTTTTGATTGGGTTTTTTTTTTTTGTTGTTGTTGTTGAGTTGTATAAGCTGTTTGTGTGTTTTGGAAATTAAGTCCTTGTTGGTCACATCATTTGGAAATATTTTCTCCCATTCTGGAAGTTGTCTTTTTCATCTTGTTTATGGTTTCCTCTGCTTTATGGTACAAAAGATTGTAAGTTTGATGAGGTCCCCTTTGTTTATTTTTGTTTTTATTTCTGTTGCCTTGGGAGCCTGACCAAAGTAACCACTGGTATGATTTATGTCAGAGAATGTTTTGCCTGTGTTCTCTTCTAGGGGTTTTACCATGTCGTGTCCTGTGTCTTTATCGCTGGTGCCTGTTCTGATTGGCTGGTGTGTCAGTGCTTTGCCGGCGGGGACAAGTGTAAATTTGGTTGCAGCACTGGTGGGCCCGTGCCGATCCCTGACCTGTGGGTCTAGCCCGGCAGTGGGCATGCTGGTGGCCTCCATGCGCTAGCTTATGTGACATGGCACTGGGTGGTCTTGGCTGAGGGTGTCGGCAATGGCCGAGTTGTCTGTGTTGTCAGCTTCCTTATTGCCATCTGCATCCGATGCTGAGACTCGCATCACAGAGGTTCCTGTGGGGACAAAGGGGAGGGGAGTTGATAGTTTCAGCCAATGTGACAAAGCAAAATAACATAAAATCTAAGATTAGATGTATCCCCTTGTAGTCCACTCATGATGGAGATGATCAAATGACATCTGATGATACAAGTTCCAGTTCAAATACTTCACCACAGTATTATAATAGTTTCCACATGGTTTGTTTACTCTTCCAGAAATCTTTAGGGCATCCTTCGATGTGACTGTCACTATGGGGGAACAGGTTCCCCTTGATGTGATTAATTTCAGGGACTGGGAAACTGTTAAGTGCTGAAGGGGAGGGCAATGCTCCACACTCCCACCTTCCCATCACGCTCTGATCCCAGGCCCCTTCTGTCCTCCCTTCTCCCCAACCCTCGTCCAGGGAGTCCTGTCTGGACAATGGTCACAAGGCAGGAGATAGGCCAAGTACCCGAATCAGAGGGAGAGAAGTGGTTGGTGGGGGCTGGGCTGAGGGGTTAGGAAGCTGTGTCCTGGTGGTTAGAGCCAAGCCTCTCATGTTTGGTCCACTGATAGGGTCAGAGACGGCCTTTGCCTCACGTGGGTGATCAGAACACAGCTTGTCTGCCCACTGAGCAGTGTCGGGGCAGAGGAGGCAGCATTAGTGGCTTCTGGTTGCAGGCCCGGAGGGGAAGGAGAACTTCTTGGCTTCCTTTCCTTTGAAACACCTGGTACTTTTCAGTCCCAGGTGTAGGTCGGAGAACTGGGTATATGGCCATGGCACCAACAGAAGCTTCCCAAGAAGCCGTGGCTCAGGCGTCCCTGAGTCTGTCAGCAGGACAGTGCCCCAGGAGGGAGAGTTTGGGCCTGTATTTGGAATGATCAGTCAGACTCCTGTTTTCAGGGGCAAGAGTTGGGAGTTGAAAAGGACAACAGGCAGCTGAGCAGGGAGGGGATGGGAGCAGCCATGGGGAGGAGGGCCTGACAGCAGGAGTGATGCAGAGGGGTGGGGCCACCGATGGGTGACCCCGGTCAGTGGGTGGCCCTGGACAGCAGATAGTGGCAACCCCACAATCCCAGAAAGGCCCCCTTGCCGTGAGATGCTGCCTCCCTCACTCCCCCGGCCCTGTCCCAGTCCCAACGCTCAGAACAAGGGTTTCTACTGCTTGAAACCACAAAAGCCCTTTGCAGTCCTGGCGCTGCCCCTGCTTATCTCAAGGGGAACTTTCAGTGCAGTAAGATTTTTTTTTTTTATATTCGTACTTTAGTTCCCCAGAGACTCAGGAAGGAGAAGAATACCTGCCTTATAGCAGCCATCAGACTGTAGCCACTCCCCACAGTGAGCCCTCAGGAAACTCAGGAGAGAGAATACCTGCAGTCTAGCAGCCATCAGGCTGCAGCCACTCCCCATGGTGAGCCCTGAGGAAACTCAGGAAGGAGAATACAGGATACCGGCCCCAGATGGTGAGATGCATATGAAGGGGAATGATTTCAATGAGGTGACTCTTCCCATACATAGAAAAGTGCTAAATTCCTTAACTTTAGATGTTGCCTCCTCAGTTTGAAGTCCTAAAAGATTCTTACTGAATAGAACATAACTCTCTATATTTATAACTTAGGTTATAATTATTTTTATGTCTACAGATGTGAAGTAGACACTTTCCAAAGAACAACAAAGGAAGACAAATCTCAACATTTGGAACACTGGTACTGATGGTGGACACTCCCCCAAAGATGAAACTGATGAAGCAGTTAGGACAATCATCACCCCCTTTTCCATAAAATTGTGGAATGGACACTGACAGTAGGGAATTGTCACAGGGAAGAACAAAATCTGACTCCATGTTGAATGTTTTACTTTAACCTTTGCTTCCCATTGGTTTGTTTACTACAAGGATACTGTCCATGCATAATAGGCTGCCTTGGGGAACCCTGCCCCTTTCCCTTTGTTCAGGGCCCTGTCCACCTGTGGATGGCTACAGGAATGAAGAAGTTAACACATCCCCTCCTGAGGTGGCCATTCCAGGAGATATTTGCAAGATTAATGGCCTTTTTCCTTCATTTCCTCGCCTCTCCAGCTCTGTGTTATATAAAAGACACTAGCATCCAGACCCTGACAAGATGGTTACTTTGAGATATTAGTCTGCCATCTTTTCAGTCTGCCAGCTTTTTGAATAAAGTCATATTCCTTGCCTCAACACCTCAGCTCTGCTTTATTGCCCTGTTGTGCGGCAAGCAGCATGAGCTTGGACTCAGTCACAATCCCACATGCCTTGCTGTCAAAAAATGAAAACATAAAAGTGAAGCAATATTGTAACAAATTCAGTATAGACTTTTAAAATGGACCATATCAAAGAAATCTGAAATCAGAAACCAAAAAGAACTCAGTGGTTGTCTGAAATATTTAGTAAAAGAGATGGTACCCTTCCTGCCAGTAACCTCTAAAGCCACACAGGGAACGCAACCTAGGCGGTCTCTTCTCTCATCCAAGGCAGTGTCACAGCAGCCACCCTGTCTCCCTGCCCATGATAAACACACCATAAAGAGGGTCGTCAGTCCCTGGGCCAGTGATACTGTGAACACCTGGACTGCCTTGTCCTTGTGAGATTTGATATGGAGACAACACAGAATGAGAACCAGCCAAGAAGGATCTGGCCAGGAGTAAACCCCTCTTCACAAGGATCCTGTGAGACTCAAGCACTCGCTCTGCTCACCCTGAACTGACTTTTGGAAACTGTCATTCTCTGGACAGGAAGTGGGAGGGATAATCCTGTCTCTTTTCTACCTCTTGAGACCCAGGTGGGCATTGGGGGCAGCAGCACCTCCTCCTGGGATCCGAAGAGGGTGTCGTGAAGGGACAGGGCCTACTGTCCAGTGAGGCCGGCCCTTGTCCACAGTGCACTGACCTGCTGCTGGGACTTGGTTTCCCTGGCATCTAGCTTACACATCACTGACCCTAGCTTGAGGTGACTTGGGAGCCCCTAGCTGGCAGGCACCCAGGAGTAGAAAGCTGCACACTTAGTGAGGAGGAGGAGAAGCAGGCAGGGCAGAGGTCCAACACCAAGTGTCCAAGGCCCCTCTGGTCTCCTGAGAGCAACCAGCCCCACTTGCCAAGGTCTTTCTCCTCCTTAGTATGTATCTTTGTGGCTAATGTTGCCAAACACCTTCCTTTGGAAGAAAAGGCTCTGTGACCATGGGAGGGGTGGAGTTGAGGATGTGCTGTATCCCTAAACCCAGGATGCTTGAGAATTAACTTCCCTGGGCCCTGAACACCCTCCATGTTAAATTTGCACCAACCTAGGCCAAGATCTGGACAGATTCTCTGGGAAGACACTTTTCATGTCCAACAAGAGAAGGTTTGTTAACCCACAAGCCCAACCCCGAGACATAGGATGTGTTGTAACCATGGAAGCCACAGGGAAGGTGTTTGAGACGCTTCTTCCTGGGTGTCTTTTCTGAGGCCTCCTTAAGTTACTGGACCTGGAAGGGGAGCACTCACACTTCTCTCCTCACTGCAGGCTGGACAGCACCCCAGCCTCAGCCCCCACTCTTCTGCCTCTCTCTGAGTTAAAGGGAAACCTCTCAGTCATGAGGCCAAAGCACAGTCTTCATGGTGAGCAGAACAGAGGCCTGAGGAAAGGTAAGGTGGAGGCTCAAAGTTTTTGTAGAAAAAAAACACGCACATGCATTCCTGTGTATGGCGGCCAGATACTGTAGTAACTGGTGTTCCCTACATACTTGTAGATGGCTTTTAGTTTCTGTAATTTTAAAACTTTTTTTTTTAAACAGCTGCTTTTGTGAGAAAATTGTTGCTGTCAACCACAAGTACTTGCAAAATAAGATCTTTAAGTTTATCAGAATGTTATAGGAGCTTTCTCTTAGTTACGGATGAACTTTTAAGTATTTATTTAATTGGCTGCACTGGGTCTTAGTTGTGGCACTCAGGATCTTCAGTTGCTGCGTGTGGGATCTGGTTCCCTGACCAGCGATTGAACCTAGGCCCCCTGCCTGGGAGCCCAGAGTCTTAGCCACTGGACCACCAGAGAATGCTGCCAGCTCCTGTTTTTTTGTTTTTGAAAGATCTATTTATTTTTGTCTGTCCTGGCTCTTTGTTGCTGCGTGGGCTTTTCTCTAGTTGTGGAAAGTGGGGGTTGCTCTCTAGTTGCTGAGTTGCTGTGCTTGGACCTCTCACTGCAGTGGCTTCTCTTCTTGCGGAGCACAGGCTCTAGGGCACTTGGGCTTCGGTAGTTGAGCACAGGCTTAGTTGCTCCACAGCATGTGGAATCTTCCCAGATAGGGATCAAACCCATGTCTCCTGCATTGACAGGCGAATTCTTTCTTTTTTTTTTTTAGTTGGAGGCTAATTACTTTACAATATTGTAGTCGTTTTTATCATACATTGACAAGAATCAGCCATGGT